TGGGGTGCAGGCTTCACAGTTCTCCTGGCCCCATCCCTCACCCCCAAGCCATTCATCCCCCCCCCCCCACCCCCCCCTACCCCCCAGCAGAGCCTTTAGGAATCACTCCTTGGGTAAAAGGCCTCTGGCGCCCTCTGCTGGCAACTATACCTCAAGAGCCGCTACTGAACAGCTTCACTGAAAAACACCAGGCCAGTTTCAGGCTGTCCTGAGGCAGGAGCCGTGCCAGCATGGAGGTCTGGTTTGTAGCATTTACCTAGACACCAGAAGCTTCCTTTGATTGATCTCTCTTCATCTTTTACCCATCACTGGGACTTGACTTTTAAAAACGTTATCAGCAAGAGCTGGGGATGTGGCTCAAGTGGTAGAGGCCCCGAGTTCAAACTCCAGTACCACCCAAATAAACACCAACAATATGAACTATTGACCTGAGTGAACCTGAAGGTTCAGTGCAGAAAGCCAATCTTGAACATGATTTCATCTATGTAACATTCTCAGAGTGAAAATTAGAGAGATGAGCGAAGACCAGGTTACCAGGGATTCCCTCCCTCTTTTTTCCATACCTCCTTCCTTCCTCTCCTTTTTTCCTCTGTCCCTCCCTCCCCCTTCCCTTCTTTCCTCCCTCATCTTTCCTTCCTTCCTTCCTTCCTTCCTTCCTTCCTTCCTTCCTTCCTTCCTTCCTTCCTTCCTTCCTTCCTTCTTTCCTTCCTTCCTTCCTTCCTCTCTCCCTCTCCCTCTTCCTCTCTCTCCCTCTCTCCCTCCCCCCCTTTCTCTGCTGGTCGTGGCATTTGAACTGTGGGCCTGGGCGCTGTCCCTCAGCTCTTCAGCCCAAGGCTAGCGCTCTACCACTTGAGCCACAGTGCCACTTCCGGCTTTTTCTGCTTATGTGGTGCTGAGGAATTAAACCCAGGGCTTCATGCATGCAAGGCAAGCACTCTACCACTGAGCCACCTTCCCAGCCCCCTCCCTCTCCCTCTCTCCCTCTCCTCCCCCTCTCACCCCCCTTCCTTCCTTGGATTGAAATTAAAGCCAGGGTCTTTATATATACTGCATATAGTAAACAAGCTCTTTGCCACTGAGCTAAATCCCCATCCCAAGAATTTCTCTTAAGGTGATGTAACTATTCTGGATTTGGGCTTCAGTGATGTTTATGTGAATCTGTACCTGTGATAAAATGTCATGGATCCATCCGGAAGACAAATAAAAATCAGTGTGTGCAAAGGTGACCTCAGGTTAGCTTCCTTTCCAGGTTTGAGCATGCACTGCAGTTATGTAAGATGTCATCACAGGGGAAGCTGAACAAAAGGTACATGGAACTTCCCTACCATTGATGAAACTTTTTATAAGCCAATGATTCTTTCAAAATAAAACCTTTATAAAAAGGGAATAAGTAGGTCTCTGGCCATATGATACCCTTGGTTGTCGCCACCTAGTGGCACTGGTGTGTAGTGCAGGATGAAGTTGGTTCTCCCAGAAGAGCACAGAGTTCTCTCCCTCATGGAAACCAGCCAGATCCCTCTCCTCTGAGGCTGGCAGCAGAAGAGGAAAGCCCAGTCTAGGAAACCCAGGAGGCCGGACTCCCTCACAACCCTTCCACCACATCTGTGTCCCATTCTTATGGCCCCCACACTTCAGAGGCTGCTTCACCCCAGGACCAGTTCTGTTCTTGGGCCTGACTTCACAAATGTTCCTGCATGAGGTTCTGGGCATGCAAGGCTCAAGTGTCTCAGTTCATATTCCTAAGAAGTTCCTGAGGTGAGTGTAAACGTGCTAACTTTACAGATGGGGGTGCCAAAGTGAGTGGCTTGCCCAAGGTCATTCAATAGGAAATGCCAGGGTTGAGGTTCGAACTCTTGCCGTTTACTTTTGTCTATACTGGCTCATCCACACGTATTTATTGACTACCCCCAGGCACTGTGCTAGGTGCTGGGTATAGAAAGGTGAGCCCCAACGAAATCTCTAGCCTCCTGGGACTTCTGGAGTCATGGAGGTGAGGAAGCAGTAATTATGACACATGAGTGGAAACTGACAAATTGCAAAAAGAAAGATCTAGAGCTCTTTGATGACATATATCCAAGGAAGCTGACCTAACTAGACATTGGGAGGAGTTGCGTGAGGCAGGGTTACCAGAGCACAGTGCTTAAAAGGTGACTCAGCAAAAGGAAGACTGAAAGGAGAACACAGCATGCACAAAGGGCTTGGGGCAGGAGGGAGCATGGAACAGTGGAACACTGATGAGCTCTGCAGTGTAGCTGCAGCGCAGAAACCAGGAGCCCAAAGGCACCAGGCGGGCAAGTGCTCTCCTGGGTGCGCACTCTCCTCATCTCAGGTTATCTTCCCAGAGCCCTGTGATGTTGGTAATGCTTTTGCATGCTCAGCCTCCACCTGGAGGAATGGCACACAGAGGGCTTGAATCAGCTTCCCAGAATCATCAGGCAGGGAAATGGTGGGCTCCAGGTTTGAATCCACGATGCCTTGCTGAGGAGTGAGGAGGCGGTGTGGGGAGGGGGGGTCTGGGCCATAGACAGGCCATAGAATCTGGTCTTAGGCTGAGAACTATCAGATCGTCAAAGGGAGGGCTGAGAATGTGGCTTCGTGGTAGAGTGCTTGCCTAGCATGTATGAAGCCCTGGGTTCAATTCCTCAGTTCCACATCAACAGAAAAAGCCGAAGTAGCACTGTGGCTCAAGTGGTAGAGTGCTAGCCTTGAGAAAAAGAAGCTCAGGGACAGTGCCCAGGCCCTGAATTCAAGCCCCAGGACTGGCAAAAAAAAAAAAAGATTGTCAAGGGGAGTTGGAGGAGGAGGAAGCTGGGAGAAAGGGAGGAGGGCAGAGGACCAGTTCACAGGGACTAAGGGCAAACCTCCAGCATGCTGGCATAAGCTGCAGCCACACACCTTGGCTGATATGCAGAGACCTGCTGGTGCACAGTTCCAATAGGGCCTGAAGAGGGCCGTGATATGGACAGATGGCTGTAGGGTGGGGGTGAGGGAGGGGGTAGGAGAGGAAGGTGAGGATGCTGCTCTTGCCATCCAGATGAGAGAGCCATGGAGGATTGGGAGAGGTGGGTCCGGGAAGTGATTTAGGAGGCAGAAGAGCAGGGGCTAGTGGATGGCGATGCCATGCTTGGAAATAAGAAGAGCTGGCTGCCGGGAGCCGGTGGCTCACGCCTGTATTGCTAGCTACTCAGGATGAGGATCTCAGTTCCAGCCCAGGCAATGAAAGTCTGTAAGACTCTTATCTCCAATAAACCACCAGAAAATTGGAAGTGGCACTGTGGCTCAAGTGGTAGAGCGCTAGCCTTGAGCTGAAGAGCCGAGGGTCAGTGCCCAGGCCGAGTTCAAGCCCCACAACCGACAAAAAAGGAGAAGGAGGAGGAAGAAGGGGAGGAGGAAGAGGAGGAGGAGGAGGAAGAGGAGGAAGAAGAGGAGGAAGAGGAGGAGGAGGAGGAGGAGGAGGAGGAGGAGGAGGAGGAGGAGGAGGAGGAGGAGGAGCTGGCTTTGGTTTCATTGTCTGCAGGATGCATTTGAGGGGGTCTGGCAGCCATCCACACAGAGTCATCCTCAAGCTGGTAGATTTTGTCCTTGGAACTTAGGAGAGCAGTAACTGAACTCATGAGGGAGACTTGCAGGCTCCCAGAGCTCCCAGAGTGTCCTTAGGGGTAGTGAAAAGTATGTTGGGCAGAGGAGAAATAGCAGGTGGATTGGTAGAGGCCTGTGAGCTGAGCAGTTCATGTGTCTCCCCAGAGTTAGCAGGCAGGTGGCCCAAGGACCTCAGGGCTGGCTGAAACCAGATGCCCGACAACCTAGGGTATTTGTCATGGGGGACCCCTTACCAACTGTGTCATCGTCCATCCTTTTTACATTGTTCCCAACCAGACAGAACTGCCAGGGGGCAGCTTCTATTTCTGTGCTATCTTTGTGTTCGGACAAAATCCAGTGTTCTCACCATGGGTGAGAAGTGTTGGACGCATGACTGAGCTTCATATTTCCAATGGAATACACAGTAGGTGCTCAGGCTTTGCAAACGCAAAGGGTTTGAGGCAGGATAGAGCATGCAATATTTGAGAAACAGATGAGCTCATCATGTGATCTTGGGTGAGTTTCCTGGTGAGAACTCTCTAGTTTTTCTCACTGGAGGCAGGTGACTTCTAGGATTCTCCTGCTGACAATGTGACAATTCTAGGATGTCTCTGCTTGCTGCTACATGTCTTGCCCACAGAGAGCTTGGCAGTGTCAAAGGGCGCTCCAGCCTCTTGTGCTGCTGACCCAATGTCCATGTAACAGGCCCCACTCAGTCCTTTGCCAGCCTCTCCTGCATCACCTTACCCTTGTGCTTTCTGGGCTCCAGTCGTAATGCTCTTCTTTCAGAGTTTCTTCTTTTTCCTGCCTCTGTTCTTCCAGATTAGACTTCCTCCCCTTCATTCCTCGCATGGTGGGGAACCACTGCTTGCCTCCAAGGTGGCTTTGGTAGAGGCATCTTGGGTCCTAACACCTTCAGAGCATCCTGCTTCTTCCTAGCTCTTGTCCTAATATGCTGAAGTCATCTGCTCACAGCCTTGAGTGACCAGAGACCCCATCATAGCTCTCCTGCTAGAGAGGGCTCCAGGGTGGAACTTGATCTACAACTCTCCCCACAAGGTAAAAAATGTATAAGCCCTCTTCAAAGCTGGACTTTTCCTTTTAGATCAGACTAGCCATACCAACTAGTGCAGAAGTCCCCGACCTAGTGGTCCAGACCCCTTCCTCAGGCGTCACTAGAAGGTGGCAAGTGGCAGTGGAGGGGATGAGGTACCAGATGACTACACTCTTGGACTAAAGCATTACCTGTCTGCACACGAGTCTCACCTTGGGGAAGGACAGCTCTGCAGGTGGGAAGATGGAAGTAAAAGCAGATGGTACACCCAACTCTTCTACCTCTCAGATTGGGTATAGATCACAGAAAAGTCAAATTGATTTACAACCTGGCCCTGCAGGTCCTTATCCATGTACATTTGCCAGAGTAGGAGAATAGAACATATTTTATTGAACAGTTGTTAGCTTGATTTGTAGATTTTAAATAGGCAGAAAAAAAAAACCGATAGGAGGCATCCATTTGTTCTCTTGCCCAGTCCTGCTGGCATCAGAGTAGGCTGGGGGTCTATTAGAACCTAAGCCCTGTCAGGGCAGCAGGCATGTGTAGTACCCCTGCCCCAGAGCATAGTGCCTGGTGCATGAGAGCACACAATAAATACTGACTTTAAGAAACAAATGGGATCACCCAAGTAGGTTGTGTGGCATGGTGCTAAAGCCCAATAAATATCAGGTATTATTGTTTGTTGAACTGATGAAAGGGGTGGAGCCGGGGGCTGAGATCCTCAAGTGAGGTGCTTTGTCTAAAAGGAGGGAAGGGACTCTGCTGTTCCCCCCTCCTTTCCTGAAGCTATCCCCCCTGTCTCCACTCTGCAGGCTTTGCCTGGCTCTTCACAGCAAGGAAGGCACCAGTTGCTTATGACAGCCAAGGTGCTCATAGGGTTGGGGACTCTGATCAAGTGCTACCACTCCACCAAAGAAATAAAAGTTGATTATAATTTCCCTCTTTGGCCAGGCAGGACATGCCTTCGTGTAGCAAGGTGATAGGTACAGGGTACACATCCAGTGGATGTTTAAAAAAAAAAAAAACCCTTGTAGACAAAACCGGTGGTTTAGGGAAGGAGGCCCAGGAAAGTCTGTCATTCCTGAGACCAGAGGAAGGCAGGTTCAGCAGCATCCTAGGCCAAAGGTCAGGGTCAAGTTCTGCCTGGGCTGGCCTGCAGCAGGCATGTTATTAGGTGCTTCATGAAGGCCTGAATTGGTAAAAACCCAGAAGCCCCTCACCAAATTCCTCCTCCCAACAGGCTGCCCCAGAAAACAAAACAAAAACAAAAAAAGCTTATTACCCAACCCTCTTGCATTCTCTCACTTGCACAGTAGGTGGCGCTGTAATAAAGATCAGAACGTAATGAGTTCAATATTAGGGATGGGTGGCTGGGGGGGGGAGGAATGAATCACATTTCACGGACTGCCCACCAGGGGTCGCCCTACCCTCCTACCCGGGAGCTACAGAAACCGCCACGCCTGCGCCTGGGTAGGAGACAGAGGGTCTTGGAGAGGAAGTCCAGCCTCCAGCCTCCCGGGCCTCTAGCTGCCAGCCTGAGGCGGAGGACCACAGTCGTCGTCCTGCGTGCCACGTCCGGCGGTCAGTGCGGCGGGAAGATGTCGGCGCACTGCTGCAGGATGAGCTCCACCACCTGGTTCTGGAACACCATGGTCATGGGCATGCTGGCCTCCTCCGTCTCGGGCCGCAGCAGCGTGGGCCCGAATACAATGGCTACACTCTGCACCGACATGCGGTTCTGCTCGCCGTGTTCGATCACCCTGCAGAGGCGAGGGAGGATGGGGCGGGAGGAAGCCTGATGTAGAGGGGGGAAGGGGGAAGGGGAGGGAGGATCCAGCCATGCCCCGCCCCCTTCCCCTGCCCTCCTCCTCCCCCCCTCACCTGCACAGGTGCTGGAAGAGAAGCCGCAGCGTGTCGTGGTTGGGGGCGGGCAGGGTGCGCACCAGGTCGCGCACACAGCGGCTGCGCTGGGCCTGGTCCTGCAGCTCTGGGGGAGGGGACGCAAAAGGACCGGGAGGCCGGTGGGTGGAAGGGGCTGGCCGGCTCCACTCACCCCTTTTTTCCCGTCCCCCCTCTCCCCCTCTCCTTCTGCTTGCTCACTGATGGCCGCGATGAACTGGCTGAAGTGGGAGAAGGGGAAGAGGGGCTCGGGAAGCTCCCGGAAGAAGAGCTTCAGGGCGCCGGTGATGACATGGACGTCCTCCCAGCGCCCATCGTCCAGGTCCAGGCGCTCATCTGGGACCAGGGAGGAGGGAAGAGTGGGTCAAGGGAAGGTCGGCGACCCTGCGGGCTTTCAGGTGCTGGGGTGGGGAGTGGGGCCGGGTCTCACCATGGTCCACCTTATAGCGCAGCTTCTGGATGGTGGCCAGGTTTCCACTGATGCGGTACAGCCCATCAATGTCCAGTCCTGGGGAAAGAGAAGAGCCGGGAGAGAGGAGCTCGTCCCAGGTGCTCATCCCAGTTTTTTTCTTTTGTCGGTAGTGGGGCTTGAACTTAGGGCCTGGGCGCTGTCCCTGAACTTTTTCCACTCAAGGCTAGTTAGTGCTCTACCACTTTGAGCCACAGCGCCTCTTCCGATTTTCTGGTGGATAATTGGACTTTGCTGATTTCAAACTGCCACCCTCAGATCTCAGCCAGCGTGAGCCAGTTCTCTTTAAATTCTACCTTGTGCCAGCCTTAGGTCTTGGAAGTAGGCCATCACGGTGCCCGATGCCCTGCCCAGCCCTCCCGTCCGCTCGCAGCCTACCCCGGGCCTCCACGGTGCGGATGCACTGCTGCACGAAGCGCGGCACTGGGCTCCGCTCCCGCTCACACAGCACGGCCAGCGCACAGCCGAACACCTGGTCTGGGGGGACAGAGGATGGTCAGCACCGCCGGCCCCCCCACCCCGCCCCGTGCCGCGCGCCCCTGAGCCCCGGGTACCTCTGATGTAGCCCTTCTCCCTCAGCGACTGCATCGTGGGCCTCCTCTGCAGGAACTTGCGGAGCTTGTGCCGGACCCGGCTCAGGTCGCTCTCCAGGCCCCCGGGGCTCAGCGCCAGAGAGGCTGCCGCCCGCCCAAGGGGAGACAGGAGACCCAGTCAGTTGGTGACATTGGGGTCCCAGCAGGCCCCAGCCCAGGGCATCACCTCCTGCCCCCAAGAAGGGACTCACCCACCCCAGCCCACCCACTGCCCCACCGCACACCTGCACTCGGCCCCGTGTCATCTTCCCGCCAGCTTCCCAGGCGCTCGCTGGAGCCGAAGTCTGCGCTGCTAGTCTCGCTCTCCTCCCGCAAGGGCAAGTCTGCAGACTGGAATGAGGGGCCTCAGGGGGAGGATCTGGGACCCGCTGGGGTCTGTCCCTCCAGGGAGGGGATCCGAAGTGCCCTTTCTCCCCTCCCCTCCTTGGCTGCCAAGCCTTAGGGGTGGAGTCTCTCCTCCCTCCCCCCATCCTTTCTTATCCTGGCCACCTCCACCCCTCCCTGTTTCTGGCTCCATTTTCCTGTGAGGGGCACTCACTCCACTAGATTGGCTTCCAGTCACCATGACGCCCAAACTCGTGAGTTTTCACTTCCATTTGGACGTTTTGGATGTCTACTTTTGCACAGGGAATTCTATTTCTAGTCACACAGCTGTACCCAAGGTTAGCTTACAGGGGATGAGAGACTCAAAAAGTGCCAGGTGAATTGCCAAGCAAACGGTCATCAAGAGAGCCTGTTCCATCTCTACTGAAGTAATGGATAATGGTGGACTCCTGGGGCTGGGGGTACAGCTCAGGGACAGTTAATGAGCTTGTCTAGCATGCTTGCAAATAGCCCGGAGTTAAGGGATCAAATCCTGGCACATCTACACATACCAAAGTAGATATCTGAATTCAATTCTTTTAAGATACTGGCGTTTGGACTGGGCCTCATACTTGCTAGGCCATTGTGACACCATTAGGCCATGCCTTCAACCCTGTTTTTTTAATCTAATTTTAGAATTTGGTTTTCCCTAATGTTTGGGTGAGGGCCTGTGCTCTGATCTGCATACCCATTTTTGCTGGGATTACAGGTGTGTGCTACCTAGTCTCAAGGACTTGTTTGATACCTTGATCCTCCGATTCTTAGTCACTCATGTTGCTTGGGATGACAAGAATGTACCACTGCCCCCAGTTATGGGCTAAAATGGGGTCTGTGAATTCCTTTTGCCTGGGCTGGTCTTGTACTGTGATCTTCATGATCTCAGTTTCTTAACTAAGATTAGAAGTGTGACTGACCTGCCACCTGCTATCTTTTGAGTTTTATATTCTAGTTTTAGCTTGTCTTTCTGGCCTAAGGCTGGTCCTCAATGTTTGCTTTCCTCTCCCATGGCATTCCCTTGGTGGAGTCCTCCTGGGAGGTCAACCCCAGGACTGACTCACAAATGTAACTGAAGGCCCTTTCTTTTACAATCCCTCAGCCACACTAGCCTTAGTGGGGATACACTTGCAGGGACACTTCTGGGGCCATGTAACTTCTGACGCAGGAACAGAGGTCCCTTCCCACAATGGGTGGGGTGATTCTGCAATAATGTCTGTCTACCCCTTCCCCATCAGCCCCAGAGGTCCAGGCTCTGCCTACCAGCTCCTCGATGCCCTGGCTGATGGCTTTGTGCCAGGTGCTGATGATGGCCTCTGAGTCATGCTGGATCAAGTACTCTGAGCCATCTCTGCTCCGCAGCTGGAGGAACACAAATTACCGGGTCATTTTGGTTGCCTGGGTCTACCCTGGGGATAGGATTGGGAGAGAGGGTGTGTGTGTGTGTGTGTGTGTGTGTGTGTGTGTGTGTGTGTGTGTGTGTGTGTGTGTGTGTGTGTGTGTGTGTGTGTGTGTGTGTGTGTGTGTGTGTGTGTGTGTGTGTGTGTGTGTGTGTGTGTGTGTGTGTGTGTGTGTGTGTGTGTGTGTGTGTGTGTAGAGGGTGTGTGTGTGTGTGTGTGTGTGTGTGTGTGTGTAGATTGAGGTAACCTGTGCCTCCAGGGAACTCAGAATCTAATGGAATAAAGGCCTCCCTTCAGGCCCAAGTCTTCATCCTGTTTTCTAACAGCGGGTGAGAGCATTTCTATTACAGATGAGCAGTGTGAGACCCATCGAGCTTTAGCAATTTCCTCGTGGGCACACAGCCCGTGAGTGATGGAACACAGCTCTGTAGGGCTCAATTTCATCACTCCACTCCTGCCACAGGGTATGGCAGACCTCACCCAGAGCCCTGGGCTGAAGAAAAAGGCAAGTGACAGGTGTTCTCATGGGAGCCCCTGGCTGCTGGAATGATAACGAAGAGAACTGAAAGCACACACTGAGGACAGATCTTGCAGAACTGCCCCTGCTTGTAAGGTCATGAAACCCCAATGTGCCCCTCCCTTGAAACTGGGCAGTACATCCTCTCATAGCACACTTCATGCTAAAGAATACATGACCAACTTCTGGAATAAAAGGACTGTCTTTTGGCTAACGCCTAAGTATTAAAATTATAATCGGATACTATTTCAACTACCTTAAAAAATAAGAGGGCTAGAAGCATGGTTGAAGCAGTGAAGCATCCTATGAGTTTGATCTGGATGCCAGTGGTGCCTGTAATTCTAGCTACTTGGGAGGCTAAGATATAAAAATCATGGTTCAAAGCCAGCCCAGGCAGGAAATCTGTGAAACTCTTATCTCCAAATAAGCACTCAGAAAGCTGGAAGTGGGTGAAACTGTGGTTCACATGGTAGTGTGTTAGCCTTGATCAAAAAAACTCAGGGAGGGGCTGGGAAGGTGACTCAGTGGTAGAATGCTTGCCTTGCATGCATGAGGCCCTGGGGTTGATTCCTCAGCATCACTTAAGCAGAAAAAGCCAGAAGTGGCACTGTGGCTCAAGTGGTAAAGTGCTAGCCTTGAGCTGAAGAGCTGAGGGACAGCGCTCAGGCCCAGAGTTCAAGCCCACGACTGACAAAAAAAAAAAAAGAAAGAAAAAAAAAAGAGGGGGAAAAAAAAGCTCAGGGAAAGCATCAAAGTGCTGACTGTAACCCCTAGAATGGGCACCAAGAAAAAAAAAAAGTATGATTTTCAGCCCTGAGTATTCTAACCCACACACTCCCCAGGTGATTTCCTTTTCTGGGGTTTGTCTCAGGCCATAGTAATCCCCTTCTCCTCTTTTGTTTCTCCCCTCCTTCCCCCCCACCCCCACATCACCACTCACCTCCAGAACATTCTTCTTGCTGGATTTGTCTTTGGGGGCCCAGGAGAGAGAGGCTCCTTTCAGCTCCACTGTATACTCAGGGGTGGAGAGCTTGGAGGGCTGCCTCTGGCAGGAAAAACAAGACAGTGTGAGAGTCTTGAGCCCAGATGGAGCTGCTCCAGCACCCTAGCTCTGACTTGCCAGACTCGCCAACTCCAAGGTCTGGCTGGTCCAAGGTCTGGCTGGGGTCACTGGTGTGGCTGGACAGTAGATCTTCCCAGATCTACTGAGGGCCTGAGGGTTGCTGGAACCCCAAGACCCTGGTGCTTCTTAGCCCCAGAGCCTGCTGGCACACTTGTCCTTGCTACCTGCCCACTTAAGGAGGGAAAGAGAAAGGAGCCCAGTCTCATCCTCTGAGCAGGTGCCTCAACCTCTCCACCTTCCAGGCTGAAGCTGGCCTCAAAGATTGTTCCCCAGCACCAGGGTGAGTGGAACAGCTGTTTAGCAGTGAATCTGCTGTCATTACCTCTTCCCTACCAATGTCCAGATCCTTTGATTCTCTCAGACTAGCCTCTCCTGGCTCAGATCAGACCAAGAACAGAGGCATGGTCCTTGATTTGTGATAGGTCTTACCAGGCCGCCTGCAGCTGAGGTCTTTGAGTCCTTGAAGAAGGTCAAGACACCACCCTCCAGTACGGTCCATGAGGCACTCCAATGCTTCTTCCTGGTGGGGTGAAGAAGTGGGGATAGGGTCTTGGGCTTAGAGCTCTTTCTCCCCTAGATGCAGGGCAGAGAGCCTCAGGATTCTGTCTGGGGCACCTGTGTGGGAGGGCTGAACTGCCATCTCTAGTAGCTAGTAGCCAAAAGACCTAGGGCAAGTCACTGCTATTGGTGCCTTGAATCCAATGAGGACTCAAGAGCCTAGCATGGGGGAAGTGCTCAGTGAACATTACCATTAAAGCACTCACCTGAGCCGCTTCCCCTTATCCACTGTCTTGGTGCGATGGAGCACCCCTGCCTTGTCCAGAGTCTTGATCTAAGAGAGAGAAGAGGGGGAAAGAGGCAATAGTCCCTAGGGTGAGCCATAAGGGGCACAGACCAGATGAGGGGGAATTGGAGAGGAGTCTCCACAGCCCTCTGGAGGTGAGACTTCCCCTTAGCTTCCATGCTCCTCCAACTCTGGGGTCTGGTGCTGGTGCAGGTATATCCCACCTGTCTCCAGAAAAACCCCCATTTTCTCTGTGGCTGTTTTGCTAGGGCGTTCATTGCCTTTCCCTACCTTCTCCTCCGGAGGGCTGGCCTGGGCTGGGGTGTCACTGTCTTGACTAGATTTGCAGATGCTTCGTGGGGCAGGGACAGGGACCTGAGGAACAAGATCCTGTCATATAGCAATGGCCCTTTTGGCTCTTCCCAGTGCTCTTCCTTCCCCAGCTGGTTACCTGGGGCAGCTCCCACTGCACAGAGGAGTCCTCCGGCTTGTAGAAGTATGGCTTCCCATGCTGGTCCTCCAACCTGACCCACTGTGGGAACAGGGATGGTCAGGGCACCCAGCCCAGCTCATGACAGGAGGAAAAGGTTCCCTCTTACCAGAGGCTGACAGTACCAAGGACAAGTACAGGTGACTTTGTCTTGGGTAGCTTGGGGCTGGCCTGGGAACTGTAGTTTAGAGTCTTAAGGAGATGTCCTAAGCAGTGACCTCATGTTTGTCTGGGTCCATCTGCCAATGCTATCCCTACCTGTTCCTGGGTGAAGTGGTTCGTGTACAACATCTGCTTGTCCGGGCCCACATGACAGGACCAGCCAGGAGGTGCAGTCAAGGAAGAGGCAAGGCTGGGCTCATTGAAGGAGCCCACGGGGGAATAGTCCTCTTCGGGGTAACTGGTTAACAATTCGGGGTAGTCTGTTTCAGGAGTGGGGGGCTGCGGGAATCAAGATGGAGTCAGATGGCTGTCAGTGCCTGCACAGCCCTTTGTCCTTCCTTTTGGTACTATATATACCCTTTGCTTCATTCCTCTGAGACAGCAGAGATGCTCAGAAGCCCCGCCCTCCAGGCCCCGCCCATGCTGGCCACACCCCTCCTCCATTCCTAGTCCTGAGCAGGAGGCGGGGTCAGAGGTGCTCCCAGATAGGCCCACCCCCTTAAAGGGACAGCCCTGCCCTCTCAGTCCCGCCCCTCACCCTCTGGTTCCTGATGCCACTGGGGCTCAGGCAGGGCTGCATCTCCAGTTCTTCCTGGGGCTGGTCCTCTAGGTGGTCCTCGGGATCGGGATCGTCCTCAGGCTCTTCCTCCCAGGCCGTCTCACCCGTCAGCGGGTTGTAGAAGAACACCCTGCGGCTCTCCTCATCCCAGTACTGACCCCACTCAGTCTCCAGGCTCTCCTGGCTGCCCACTGAGGCCGGTGAGGTGGCCGGGCTGGTGGCGCCCTCTGCCGTCTCGAAGGGCGACTCCCAGGTGGTCACGCCCGTGTCGGGATTGTAGTAGTAGGGGCGCCCGGTGTCCACGTCTGTGTGCGTCTCCCACACTGGGCTGGGGCGAGGGGCCACAGCTACATGCGGGGAAGGGGCCTGGGGCTGCCGTTCTATGTTCGCATACACAGGCTCCGGGGGGTCATCCACCTGGGGGAGGCCAAGGACACTTTAGGACAGTTCCAGAATCACATAGTACCCACTGGCCACTTGTCACCAGATGACCTTCAGCAAGTTCCATTACGTCTCCGCCATGGTTTCCCAGGGTGTAAAATGTCTGCTATGCTCATTCCAGAAATTATAGAATAAAGAAGGAAATGTGGGCTTACGGGCGTGGCTCAAGTGGTAGAGCACCTGCCTAACAAGCAAGACTTCTAGTTCAAGATCTAGTGCTGCCAAAAGTGAAATAAATAAAAATAGTCTTTCTTTCTTGGTGGTACGCAGGGCACTGCATATGCCAGGCAGGAGAAGTCCTACCACTTGAGTCACATTCCAGTCTTAAAGAAATATTCTTTTTTAAAAAGTATTAAGTACTTGTATAAAGAGGTTACAATCCCATGTATTAAGTTATGAGTACAGGCATCTTGCTCAATGCCATCCCTTCCATCATTTTACCCTATCTCCCCCTCCCTCTCATCCCTATCCTAGTTCATAGTTCACTTTTTACATATGTACATTGGATATGACTGCATTTCCTCACCCTTCCTCCCTCCATTCATGTGCCATCCTCTTAATTCTCCCCCCAAACGTGTTTCTATGTCACAGCATTTTATAAGCAGTGCATTAGTTGTTTAGAGGAATTAGACCTTTGGACTCCTCCTCTAAGTATACCATCCCTAAAGAAATGTTCTTGAAAGTTCTTCCTGAAGTAGAGCCAGAGATGAACGAGACAATTATATTTTTATTTACTAACAATAATAAAATACCAGGGCTAGGAAGGTGGCTCAGTGGTAGCCTTGCATGCACGAGGCCCTGGGTTCGATTCCTTAGCACACATACACAGAAAAAGCCGGAAGTAGTGCTGTGGTTCATGTGGTAGAGTGCTAGCCTTGAGCTGAAGAGCTGAGGGACAGCGCCCAGGCCCAGAGTTCAGGCCCCATGACCAACCAAAATAATAATAATAATGATAAAATACCAAGCTGGCCCTAGGGTTCAATCTGCAATCCTAGTTGCTCAGAAGGCTGAGATCTGAGGATTAAAGTTTAAAGCCAGGGGCTGGGAAGGTGGCTCAGTGGTAGAGCGCTTGCCTTGCATACCTGAGGCCCTGGGTTCGATTCCTCAGCACCACATAAGCAAAAAGAAAAAAAAGCCGGAAGTGGCGCTGTGGCTCAAGTGGTAAAGCACTAGCCTTGAGCTGAAGAGCTGAGGGACAGTGCCCAGGCCCAGACTTCAGGCCCCATGACCGGACCCACCCCCCCCCCAAAAAAAAAAAGTTTAAAGCCAATCCTGGAAGAAAAATCTGTGAGACTCTTATCTCCAACTAACTAGCCAAAAGCAGGAAGTGAAGGTGTGGCCCAAATGGTAGAGTGCCAACCTTGAGTAAAAAGGCTGAGAGGAGTTCAAGCCCTCAGTGGCAGCACAACAACAGCAGTAAAAACATCAATAGCCTAGTTCTTATACTTGACTGCACTTACAGGGACAAGGAAAGGCTGAGGTCACCTCTTCTGTGGTCCCTTTCAGAATCGCAATCAGCCCCACCATGAGCTCTCACTAGCCTTCCATCTCATCCCAGAAAGCTCTGGGATTAGAATCAGCACTACCTCTGGATATGGGGTTGCTTTGCAGGTGTCAGAATCAGTACTAGATAACGAGAGAGATGACAGCCAGACGGACTAGAGATAGAAGTGGTAGCAGGGAGACAGGGGATTTATCACAGGTGGCTGATCACATGGAATACAAGCCTGCCACGCTTCATGCCCTCAAAGAACAGAAGCTGGCCTGATTCCCACCTCCTGGTTCCCTGCTGGCTGCAGAGCAAAGTCTAAGCCCTTAGCTGGGCACAAGAGGCCATCTATCACTTGCCAGTGCTTACGCCTGATTTCCTGCCCCTCCTTGCCTCTTGCCTTGAACTTTTAAGCTCCAATAGCTCTGCGTACTTACAGGTCCCCACCCTTTCTGCTGTGAGTCCTGTAGGCGTTGGCTGTCTTGGCCACCTTCCTCCCTTCTCACCTGGCTGACTCCTTTTCCTCTTTCAAGATCAGCTCAGGTTCCAGATTAGAGACCTCTTCTGAATTCCTCTAGTGTTCCCAGAACAGCAACCCTACTTGAGGGATAGAGAGTCCTATTTTTTTCTTTTTCGCTTTTTGTTTGAGGCCAGACTCAAACTTGGTACCTTTTGCTCATTGGCTGGTGCTCTAGCAAATGAGCCATATCTTCAACCCCAAAGTTACATTTTCAAACTCCAGGTTCAGAGTCAGCCTGTGAGGATAAATCCATGAGAACGAGAGTCTTATTTCCAAGTAACCAGCAAAAAGCCAGAAGTGGAGTTGTGGCTCAAGTGGTAGAGCACCAGCTTTGAGGTAAAAACCCAAGCAAGAGTTGCTAGGCCCTGAATTCAAGCCCCAGTACTGGCTGTGAATGTCTCTTCACCTGAGCCCAAATCCACTGAAACCCAAATCAGACTTCAGCTTTTCATCATATTCTATTGGTAAAAATATGTACATTTGAAGATAGTAAACTTTTCCAATAAAAAGTTAAATTAATGATAGCTTTAGCACTCTATTATAAAGATGGCAGCCATTCTCTTAAGCCACTTTCTTTCCTGCATTCTGCACATGGCAGGTACTAAGCTAAGGTAGCAGAATGGGGACAGGTAGAAAGTAGAGCAGGGCCCTGTGGGGAGGGGATGCATCCAGGCAGCACATCCCAGGAATCTGAGCAGGTTCAGCCAACCCAAGCAAGGCAAAGACAAAAGTCTAGATCTTGGTCAGATGCCGGTGGCCCACTCCCATAATCCTAACCACTCAGGATGCTGAGATCTGAAGATCAAAGTTTCAAGTTAGCCTGGGCAGGAAAATATGTAAGACTCTTATCTCCAATTAGCCTCCCCAAAGCCAGAAGTATAGCTGAAGCTCAAGTGGTAGAGTGTTAGCCTTGAGCAAAAAAGCTCAGGGACAGTGCCCAGACCCTGAGTTCAAGCCTCAGGACTGGCACGCATGTGCATGCTTGTGCACACACAGAATGTCCAGATCTTATAGATCCCTCTTGGGGGACAGAAATCTCTGCCAAACATGTGAACTGTCAGTACAACCTAACAAGGCCCTGAGTCTTTCTAGAGTCACTCCAGTCCTTGTCACTAGAGCCCAGATACACACACACACACACACACACACACACACACACACACACCCTTAAGAATATCAGAGCTACCTGAAGGCAAAGTTGACAGATTGCTGGGGATTGGGGCCAGTGTGCTCCCAGAGGCAAGGAGGCCAAGTCCACTCCCTCTTCTCAGTGCTGAAAGCTTGGAGAGGGGCAGGACCACCGCACCCTTAAAGGTCCCTTTAGTTCGAGAACTCTCTGTGGACTCCCACAGCGCTAAGAGCTGCTTTTTCTTTTTCTTTCTTTTTTTTCTGGGAGATCTTTGTTGGGTTCTGACTGCTCCTGGGGAGTCCAGCTATAGCCTCAGCCCAGGACAAAAAGGTCAGACTATGGTACCCAAGGTTCAGGTTGTATCCTAGAGAGGGACCATTGGACACCAAGAGAGTAAAAGGAAGTGGCTTCTGTACCTAGGCCAGAGGACTGAACCAACACAGACCCTGGCTCTCGGCACACCAGCTGCCCCTGCCCACTTCCTCAGGGTAGTGACCCCTGGCCTCCAATTCCCTAGCCTGTCCCTACGCAGGTGGCAGTTGCCTCTTTTGCTCCCAGCTGAGTTCCCTAGAACATCACCGCTGTGTTCTCAGCAGGGCCTCTGAGAAAGAAACAGGAAAAGAAGAGCCCCAGTCTTGGGGCTCCTATCAGGGTAGGAATGCAGCCTACCAGGAGCCCCTAGCACCACCCCCAAGCATTCTGCCACCCCAGCAGACGCTGAGCTGGCCACTGCAGCCCTCCCTCCCTACCTGTGCCCGCAGCGCCCGATTCTGCCTCCTGGAGAGTTTGGCAATCACATCCACCATCCTGGCTGTTTAGAGCTGCTAGGATGAAGCCTGGGAAGGTTTTGGGGTTTTGTTTTTTTGGGGGGGCGGTGGGTGGGGTGGAGCCAAGGGACACAACCCCAGCTGGCACAGGGCAACCAGGAAACAAGAAGTTGTCTTGATATGGCGGGAGGCTGAGACTGCCGCGGGTTTCCTGTCAGGCTGCGGAAGTGCAGCCTGAGACAGACGCTGCCTGATCGGGCTAGCAGGGTGGGGGTGCTGGTTTGGGGCATTGTATGCACTCCTTACTCCTCTGACTGCCCCACTCAGGGATCTGAGGACCCAGCAGGACTAGCACCCAGGCCTAGATGTAGTCCAGAGAAGCCTGATAGATGGTCCCATTTCAGCTGTGGGCGGGCTAGGAATGAACAGATAGTGTGTGCACAGGGGCAGCTGTGGGGATTCAGGCCTATGTTGACTTAGTAGCTCCTGTGCTGGAAACAGGCCAGTGAGTGCCTGCACACTCCCCAAGGTGCAGGAAGGGTGGAAAGGGAAAGAGGAAGCTTCTGCAGGGGGAGAGGTTCCCAAAGAGGAAGGGGGTCTGTGCAGACATGGTATGAGGCTGCGGGTGTCTGGACCCTGCCAGCCATGAGGAGGGAGGGAGGGAAAAGGGGTTTGGACTGTATCACTATCTGCCTGCCTGGACCCTGGGTCTGTCTCTTTCAGATTTGGTCAGCAAGATGTATCTGCCTCCCATTCTTGTGTGTCAACATCTCCTACTCCTGTGTGCTTCACCCCTGATCTTTAAGAATGGAGGAAGGGGACCTGCTTCCCTCTTTTCCTCCCTGACTTCTCCTCCCTCTGTCTTCTCATGCAGGTATGTATGTATCCCAGCCACATGCAGTGGACACACACCCTAGGTGAGCAACTGGGGATGCTCCTCCAAGCCATGGGGACCATATTATTTTCTATTTCTCTCCAAGCTGTTTGCCTTGCCCCACCCACCCCAATTCTCTCTTCCCTAAAATGCTTGCCTTGCTAGACTCAAGGACTATGTGGTATCTTGGCTGTCTT